TATATATGTAGTTCGGTGCATACTTACCTGACATTGAATCCAAAAGCAAGCGCATAATACTGCCACTGTTCGGTTATAATAAATGTTTGAGGAACAGCACGTGATGGAAAACCACTGAAAGAGTTTGTTTTCAAAAAACTTTCAGCACTACAAGCCTCTTCACACTCACAGTAATCTTCGCGATGTTCAGCGAACTGTTCTGTACGTAAATGATAGAAACAATAATTTGGCCTATTATAGTTTAAGCTCTCTCTAGACTATCAAATTTTCTTCGACAAACAAATGCTTTTGTAAAGGTAGGAGAATAACCCATAATTTGCAACGTCATTGTACGTATGGTAACTATAACATTACGACAACTTTAAGTTAATGTCTGCCAAATGTATTTAAAAGGATTGATATTTGTACCATTACCAGTACCAGTAAAGTTTTGGTTTAAACAAATGAGCGCAATCAACAACTGACAGTCGACGAACTCCCGACCCACCACACAAGCGAAAATCACACCTACTCACGCAGCACCAACCAATCAACCAACCTTCCACCCACCTAACAAACCAACAAACCAATCAATCAACCAAACAACCATTCAACCAATCAATCAATCAAATATATAAATTAAGTTAATTAAATCTTTAGGATTTGAATAGTTCTAAATCGAAAGGTAACTCACATCATCAGGGTAATGTAGGCCTATTCTTATTTAAGTAAACCACTCAAAAAGCAACCAACAAATTAATCAATTAATCAAGCAACCAACTAATCATCAATCAATAAAGCAATCAAGTTATCAACCAATCATTCAATAAAAGATGAAGATTGTAAGGCCTTGAATGGACTTACACTAAAAAGGTCACACATCAGGGAAATTTGGGTTCAAGAAAACGGTTTCAATTCGACTACATATAAGAGTTAAAATACATTTAGATACTGTACACACAAATTCTTGATATCACAGAAAGGAAATTGCATGCTTGCACTATGTGATTGCACGCCTACCTCAATTAAAAATCCATCGAATATTGTCAACACGATTCGATACTTGGATTATGTATTATACTATATCTTAAGAATGATATAAAAATATAAAGGTGCGTCACAGAATGTTATCTTTCTCTGAAGTTTTTTTCTACTAATAATTAAAAGTAATTGACATATTCAAGTGTGTGGATGACATGCCTTTAATTGGTTTATTAATTCAAATCGATATCAGCATGCTAATATTTAGGAGTTCATGTGTGTAAGAGTGGATTCGATCGATTAATTACTATATATGATTGTGAAATGCGCATACTAAATAGACCAAGAGAAAAATCAAATGACATGATCTTCATAAAGATATGTTCTATATTTTCATTTTTAGAACTCTCCGTTTCACCCCCATCAGTACATGTGTAGCCCTAGTTCGAGTCTCAGTATCGTCCAGTTTTCGTCATTCATCTCAAAATCATTCAGTTCATGTTTAGGCTCATACCACCAACAGTGACACGAAATCATTCACAGAACAAGTTCATACCAAAGTTGCTTCAAGCAGTTCTTTTTTTCAGACCTGTGCAAAAGACTATCGTCCCATCAACAAGACCTTCCACTCAACTCTGATAATTCCACGTTTTGTTGATTTCAATTGAAGTTTGAGACATTTACGTCTGATTTCAGCAAAGGTGATTTAGGCAAACAAATTCAGTTATGCTCTACTTCATTCTCAGTTTTTCTATAAAGGTTATAACCCACATTTTCGTAAAGAAAAGCTAATTATATCCAGGCCATGATACCATTTGATCTCCAGATTTGTTTTTTTGGCGGTTATTCTCATTATCTAATTCATGTAGACCAAAGGTTAGTATATTTTAGTTTCTGAACTTCCCTTTATCAATTAAATAATTCTTCATTAATCTGTTCTTTCCTATACTTTGCATCGTGCAATATTAAATTTAGTCAATACAATTTCTGTATTTTGGACAATAAAATAATCGTAAATTTTGAATCTTGACACACCGTTATACTTTGCTGTCTACTGAAGCACGCTTTAGAAAATTATTTGACGCAAGCATAATGTTTAGCAACATGACCTAACTAGCTGAAAGACTCACACTAAATGAACACACAAGGAAAAAAAAGTAATACGTGCGATTTGATAATTTCAAGACTACATTTTCTGAGTTGTTAAAGTTGCTTCATTTTTATGATTTTCTAAAAGAGCTACAGAAAGGCTGGGAAAATTGGCTTACCATATTTAGGAATATAGCATCCAGTTAAGTTTGATGGAGAACAGAACGGCTGTGTCTCACCTGAAAATAAGGAAAAGTAAAACAAAAAGAACTCTGGTTCAATTAAATTTAATGCTGAAAATTGGCGCGGCTTCTCTAACACACAGCAGCATTCTACGAGGTTGGAAATTTGAACATTAATCTAAATTGCATTTTTGACTAATATTAAATAATAAAGAAACGGACATAGTAATAATAACAATAACAATGAAAAACAATAATGAATATACTAATAGTAATACTAATCCTAAAAATGTAATATTTATACAAATAGGCCTACTATTAATAATAATTATGTAATAATAGTAATATTAATAATAATGGTAATAATCAATTAACAAATCAATCAATCAAGCTTACTTCCAGGCGTGTAATAAGTCCGGCATCCACAGACTTTCATGAAGTAATCTGTTTCGCACTCAAGTAGACAGCGGGATTGTGTGTACTTTTTGTTCACCTGGTATTTCAGTTTCTTGTCACCATCAACAATGCAATTTCCGTGAGGATGTGGTAGTGATGTAATCTAACTCAAAGTTAAAGCAATCACTTAGTAATTTCTATTAAATATTATATATCAAGAATAAACATGTTTTAATGTACTTTTTAGCTACTTTTTCTACTAAACCAAGTGATCTCAATTAAGTAGCAATGCTGGTGGGCATATATTCTGCCACAAATAACAACCTTCCGCCCGAAAAGATTAAAGATTAATATGAAAATAACATTAAAAAAAATATATATGATATGATATATGATATGATTTTATTTTTAAGAAAAAAGAAGATTCTTTAGAACTGCGGCATCATTAATCTTGGAAGCTTTAATGATTTTGTCAGTAAGTTTATTTATAATTGCAATTATAACATTAATATTTAATAGTATTTGGTTTGGTAATTTGTAAAATTTTGCCTCACATTTTTTTTTAATTGAAATATCGGATATTATATTTACCGTTTGTTTCCGTAGTCCTATTGAAGCCCTCATTCCAGTTCCTACATCCACACCCGATGCTTGTAAATCAGGGTCATCATTATGTCCGTCAATAGCAATACGAAATCCAACGTTTTCCCGCGGAGCTGTTATATACTGCAAATGCTCAACGTTCAGAATCATGCTAAGTCCATACCTTTGACCTATAATATCAATTTCAAAACTTAAACTTAGTCGAGATAGAAGATGCTTGAAACTTGCTATTAGGCCTACAGAATAGTTTTTATATTTTTGAGATATGTTTTTGTCTTCATTACATTTAACACTTGTAATTTTTATATTGGTGTTGAGTGATAAATTCTTCAATGTTTTTTAATGCTTTTTATAGGCCTATTTTTGTACGTACAACATCGGTTCTGGTTCAAATGGCAGGCTCGTTATGGTTCTGGTGGTGGAAAAACTTTTCTAGTATAATAACTACAGTAAAAATAATCCTTAGGCCCAGTGTACACAATCTGACTTATGCGCACGATTATTGGGTGAACCTGGTGTACTGGTTTAAACAGCCAGCCTGCCAGCCAGCCGACAGATAACTGGTACCGGTTTACCGGGTAGCTCAGAGAAGAAAATAGTCCTCATAGATTATTGAACGATCTAGTCCACACCTTGACGGCTTCAGTATAAAGCCCTATTTAAATTCAACTACCGGTACATTACATTAAATTAATGGATTTTACATCTATCAAAGCTAAACCAATTGACAAATGGTGATATTAATCGGATATAACCTCCTCCCTGCTGTGAAATATCAAAGATAATCACCATAGATGGAACACTAAAGAAGCAAAAATCATTATAGAAGAAAATACTTGATAAACATATTAATGCAGCAGATGCAACATATATATCGATACTTGATTTTAATTGAAGTTTAATGGGAGAAGTCCTATCACCCAAGCTAGGATATGTTTTATGAATAAAATGACAATTATTGGTGAAGTTTGATAAAATACGTTTTATCTTTGAAAAACATGGGTTTTTTTAGGGTAGTAACAATACAGTCCTTAGACATGGTTCCTAAATACAATAAGGTTAGTAGTCGCAAAATGTTAATGTTATTTTTATATATTGGTATTTATATATCAAAGTATAGATTTGGGATTTTTTTGGGCCATGGATGCTCGCTTTAACATGGCATGCCCCTGGTATGGCTGATTCTGTCGCTGCCGTTGCCACTACATCCGCTTACAGTTACCTCTGCCACTGCCAATGTCGTTGCCGTTTTAAAAAAGCTCTGTCACACTACAACATTTTATGTGAAAAATATAGTTATGCGTCAAAGTAAACTATGAATCACCATGCCCTTATATGTGCACAACACATTTTTGTTATTATTACCACGGTACGTCACTGCCATCAACTTTCTATTTAGTAGACCTTTAACTAGATTTCTCATTATAAAACGTTTACTCATCCGTTTCTGGATAGCAAATCTACGCTATATGTACATTGCATGTTATTTCCTACCTGCGTTATTCAATAATGTGTTTGTTGTTGGTGTGAATGCGTAACACACCCCATAGTTGGTGTAGGTAAGGGTGAAATTTTCTGGTCCGCAAATGACTCCATTGAAAACGCACCTGTCGAGTATATTAAAAAACGGTGAGTATTTTGTCGTTTCTATGTCAAATAAAGTTTTTGTAGTCCAAACTATCATTGAAATAGAGTAAACAGTGTATCTGAATTCATTATTCGATTGTTTATCCAATGGAGTGTCAAATAAACATAACAATTGACCAATCAGAACAGGGCTAGGAATACGCACGTGTCCCCCAAATACATGTGTTCTCCAACAAACGCACGTGTTTACGTTTATCGTTATTGACATTAGCAACAACATCAATGGGGTGGGGCTGAGTGAAATACAGTTTTTCGTACAAGAAAGAAAAACGGAATTTATATCGTATGAGGGCGGACACCTTGGCGATTATACAATAGGTGCTATTTCGTTGCATTATGGGTAAAGCGGGTAATTTGATAACGTGCATCAATGCACGTTTTTCCATTAGGCGTCTCAACGGAGTTAAGTGGTTAAGATGCTTAATTAAATATTGCAATTAAGTTACACAGATAATCATCGTGATGTGATGAATTGAAATTCCCAGAGACAGAATCTTCATCTGAGTTGAAGAACCCCAAGATGGGAGAGGCAGTTCAAATCTGTATCAGCACTGATTAGCATGTCGTTTCCCATCTTCAGGCCAATACAATTACCAAAAAATTATATTTTGTCATCCCAACTGTCATTTATTTATTTTTCTTAAAATGTAACGACTACTGCTATTTTTTTTCCCCAGCTGGACTGTGTCCGGGGCCTTTTGCGGTTCACTCATTCCAGTATGGTGAGCAGGGTTGTCATTTAATCGTAAATAGAGATATCTTAGTTTTAAATAGATATATCTTAGTTTTAAATAGATATATCTTAGTTTTAAATAGAGATATCTCTATTAATAGAGATAACTCTATCAATAGAGATAACTATATCAACAGAAATACAGTTTTAAATACAGATATTTTAGTTTTAAATAGATATCTTAGTAGTTTTAAATGGAGATTAGTATAAAATCTGTATTTTAAATACAGATATCTTAGTTTTAAATATAGAATTAAAAAAATAATGCATAGCATATTGTGTATTAATAACACGTTTTCTTCAGTTGCATAATTTTTTATATTTTGAAATAACCGACAACTCGTCTAAATCCATAGTCATTGTTATTACCTCTGCCAAAGAAGCTATGCATTCTGTATGTTCATATATAGTCATTATGTGCCTATATATGGTCATGATATGATGTCACCATGACCATATTTAGACATGTCACATAATTTGTTATATAAAATTGATAGACAGGGCTTTATATTTTAGTTCTAATTATTTTATCACCAAATATATCAAATTTCCCACTTACACTTCAAGCATGTCTTTTATTTGGTGACTATTGTACCGAATGAATTCTTTCAGATCTTTTCTACCTGGATACGTTTCGTCTTCCAGCTTACCGTACCCGTTACCATTTGAAGTTATACCGATATCAGGGGTCAGGCTTCGAAGGTATTGCAGACCGTGGTAATAGAATAGAAGAGTTCCACCCAACAATGGCGTCACCTGATCAAACCTGTCATTTGAATTGAAATTCATATGTTAATCTTATTCATTATAACAAAGTATATAATCCGGGTGTGAATTACACATTCTACTCTGTATAATACTGTACAGTAAATAGAATACGCTTTGTACGGTATCAAAATTGATCGCAATTGAGGAACGCAAGATGAGTATTAACACTATTATTAATATTTATTAGCACTATTAATATTATTATCATTAATATTATTATTAATAATAATATTATAAGGCATTTATATACCGCCTTTACAAAAAAAATCAAATCGTTGTACATTAAAACCTATTTTTACAAAGATAAAAGATAAGTACAATAAAAAATCAATGAAATCATTATCATCATAATCTTTATCACAATCACCATTATGATCATCATCATTCCTAACTTCAGCAACAGCATCCTCATCATCATATCATCAGTATCCTCACCCTCATCATCCGATCATCCTTATCTCATCATTATCTTATAGACGTGTTCTCGTCCTATAATACTCTTTGATAATAATATTAAAAACAAAAAGGCTTACTTGAACATATTGATGTTGCACACTGTAACTTTGGGAAATGTTATTGCTGACTTGGTGACGTAATTCAAGTTGGTGTTTGTAGGATACTCGAAGTACCTTGACACGGAACGATTTATCTGGTAGGTAAGACCAGTAAGCGCCAAGACGAGAATGATAATCCAAGATATTCTACAAACAATAACCAAATGAACTTACTAGAACATTGAATAAAAGGCCTAATAATATTATTAAATTGTTGAATTATTTATTTCATATTGAATGATAAATTGTGTAAATATGTTTTCTAGCTAAGTATTGTACATTGAGGATTAATTTTTGTTATTATTAGGTCGTGTTAACTGTATTGTATTGTTTAATATGATGGAGTGTCGCTCCGGGGTGAGCTTGCCTGTGTAGAGCGCTTTATAAATGTCACTTATTAGGCCAAATAAATTAAATTGTTAGTTTGCCCTTCTTTTTTTTTAAATGATAAATAGGGGCGGGTGGAAAAAGTTTTTTATTTATTTATTTTTTAAATACTCATTAGATGGAATAAAAATAACCCACAGAGGCCTAGAATGGCAATATCTTACATCAGACAACAACTTTAGACTAATTTGTAGGGTATCTGTCAAAAAAGTTTTTTAATTTGTAAAGAAAAAAGCTAAAAAAACCTTTTTATTTTATTTTTTTTCCGCCCCTATTTTTCAGTGAGTTAGGGGCGGTGGAGGAGGGCAAACAAACATTTTTTTTTGGCCTTATGATTATAAATATTAGTAATAATTATAATAATAAGAAGAATTATTACACAACCCAATATTTATTTTAATCTTAATACAACTGAATGTAGAACTATCATCTTTTGGAATGAAGATTTAAACCAATGCCTATTTATTTGTTGAATGATAATATTTGATGTATTTATACAGTTTGATAATGGAGAAATTATAAATGAAAATTGATAACATTGATTGTTAGAATAACTTATCAGCATTGTGTATTTTCCTTGTAAATTTCTGATTCAATAATTTAATGTTTGTTTTCTTAATTACTGAAACGTTTAAGCTGTTGGTCCCGTGTGCATTATGGCCCATGTGCACGTTAAAGAACGCAGTAAGGGACTGTCTCTCTGTGTACTGTCCAATCACCACCAGAAGGACCCCACTGGAAAAAAGTCTTCTTCAGACCTTCGTGGATGGTCCTTGGTGTTTACACAGAATAAATCCATCCATCCAAAGAAGGTTGTGTTGAAATTATATACATACATACATACATACATACATACATACATACATACATACATACATACATACATACATACATACATACATACATACATACATACATACATACATACATACATACATACATACATACATACATACATACATACATACATACATACATACATACATACATACATACATACATACATACATACATACATACATACATACATACATACATACATACATACATACATACATACATACATACATACATACATACATACATACATACATACATACATACATACATACATACATACATACATACATACATACATACATACATACATACATACATACATACATACATACATACATACATACATACATACATACATACATACATACATACATACATACATACATACATACATACATACATACATACATACATACATACATACATACATACATACATACATACATACATACATACATACATACATACATACATACATACATACATACATACATACATACATACATACATACATACATACATACATACATACATACATACATACATACATACATACATACATACATACATACATACATACATACATACATACATACATACATACATACATACATACATACATACATACATACATACATACATACATACATACATACATACATACATACATACATACATACATACATACATACATACATACATACATACATACATACATACATACATACATACATACATACATACATACATACATACATACATACATACATACATACATACATACATACATACATACATACATACATACATACATACATACATACATACATACATACATACATACATACATACATACATACATACATACATACATACATACATACATACATACATACATACATACATACATACATACATACATACATACATACATACATACATACATACATACATACATACATACATACATACATACATACATACATACATACATACATACATACATACATACATACATACATACATACATACATACATACATACATACATACATACATACATACATACATACATACATACATACATACATACATACATACATACATACATACATACATACATACATACATACATACATACATACATACATACATACATACATACATACATACATACATACATACATACATACTCATTCCTGATGATGACATAATTAATGTCGAAATATTGAATCCCAACACGATGGCGTGTATTTCAATACTTGGAGTATGTATTATACTTTCTTATCTGAGATTAATCAGTGGACCTTTCGGTTAATAATAATAATGGTAATGATAATAATAATAATAATAATAATAATAATAATAATAGTAACAACAATAACTATAATAATAATGATAATAATAATGATAATAATAATAACAATAAATAATAATGATAATAATAATAATAATAATAATAACTAAATAATAATAATTAAATAATAATGATGGTAATAATGTATAATTATAATATATTATTAATGGTAAAAAATAGCAACAATAACCATAAATCATTGTAGTCTAACTAAAATTCAAAATTAGATATATTATTATAGTAAGAGTCACCTTCTACTCCAGTTGTTTCCCCCTTTTATGTGCTTAAGTCCGTGAAATGATGTTTCTTCACTAAATACATCAAAACTATTTCCACAGCAGCCTCCTTTCGCCTCCTCATTATGGCCTTTAAATCCGCTCGACTTTATCTCCGTCGGCCGAGGCGAATTGGACGGTTGTGTTCTCTTCCTGTTCCATTCTCTGCTACCATATGTAGCTGCCCCGATATAGCTAGGAATATCGTAGCTAGAATAAAATATTTGGTTACGTCTGACGAACAGTGGTTCGTCCGTCAGACCAACATTATCCACTCCGAATCTTTCAGTCATTGCTTGACAATGAGCAGCAGTATACAGTACTGTACCACGTTTATTAAAGTTTCGTCTCCAACAGAGATTCTAGCTGTGTCGTCTATTTATAAAGGCAAGTGATGAAGAACTGACGAAGTGTTACACATATTAGGTAATGAATAAGAGGCATTATAAGAGCCTACCGCTTATTAAGCGCCAATAAAAGAGAAGCTTTGAACAATGGTTATTTGCAAAGCAAAATATTACATTTACAGGAGAATGATTTTGTGTTGACATTACAAATCTATACTCTAGTAATTCGCATGGGTGCTGTCAATTAAAATCAATATGCGTGGTATATCAAATAAACTATGATTATTAATCCAAACGTTGCCGAAAAGTAACTGGTTAACTTCGTCTTTAATTCAATGTGGTCAATATTAATTATTTGCATCCAGAAAATATCAACGCTTAGGGCCTCATGTGTGGGTTTGAAAAAATTAACTAAAATAAGAACAATATATTTCTGTAATTAATTATTGATTCTGTATCAAGAGCACAAAGTCCTCTCTTTACTCTACAGTATATTATACAGAACTGTCACATTATCATCATTATTGTTGATGTTGATTTTTTTAAACTACAGTTCACTGTCCCATTCGAGACCAACTTTGGGACCTGACAATTTGGGGTGGTCCCGGAGTTGGTCTCCAATTAAAGGGCTAGCTTTGTGTTAATAGGTTGAAGATTGTTATTTTGGTCTTTGGAAAAGTGGTCTCGGGATTAGAGGTGTCTCGAATTGGAGGGTGCACTGTATTATTATTAGTTTAAGTAATAGTAATATTGTTATAATAATAGTAATAATAATAATAATAATAATAATGATAACAGTACTTCAATATTATTATTTTCCTTGACCTGATTACAATTATTATCATTATCAATATTGTTATTATTGTTATTATTAATATTATTATGATTCCCAGATAACGATTATATTATAATAACGTTATAATTGTTTTGCTGTTTGGTGTTCAACACGGGGTGATTTTTGTAGAGCCTTAAATTTATAACGTAATTTCTGATAAGGTAACGTTGCTACAACATTGTGTTAACATTATTTCTAACACAAACCTATCCGCAACGTTTACAATTTAATTTTGTCTTAATCAGTGAAAACTATAAAAAATATATATATTTTGGCAGCAATGGCGTTCCATACATATAATTTACATCCGAGTTCAACATAACAACATAAAAGTTCCTTGACATAAACCAACGCTGGTGCGCTCTCCGAAATTAGCTAATTTTCTGTCTTCGGTCAATTGATTTTTAAGACTCTTCTCAAATGATTTCGGTTTAACACATTGATTTTATTGGCTTTATATATATTTTTTTAGTGAGACTCCAAAATTGTACAATAGAACAGACACTACAAGGAGAGCAAATAGATGTAACTAACACTCGAGCCAAAGCTTTGAGAAAGTATCAATAACAGAATTTTCTAGAATACCTCTATGTTTAACATCTGTTGCACTATCTAATCTAGAACCAAGTAATTTACAAATTACGTATACATAAGGTAAAAGTCTTAAATGTTTGAGAGAAATACCATAAATGCTGAGTCTTTTAAGAGTACAGTATTGCATGATTGATGGTATCAAAAGGAAAATACCAAACTACACAATTATTTATTAAGGAGCTTCTGGTTCTGGTTCTGGTTGGTAAAGCCGACTTCCTAAGAACTCCAAAAGTGTAGGAGTATAACAGGAGGGGTAGAAATAGTGTCGAATAATAGGAAAGGAGTCCTCAGAAAAACCTCTTCAAAATTAAAACATTTTGAATAACTTATTAATATGGTTCAAATTAAGTAATTAACTTCCAATCAGGAACAGATCCGAAAATTAAAATAAAAGAAGGACTTTGTTGATTTACATACATTTTATCCCTAAAAAAATCCGTAAATTGATCTCAGGGTCTATGCAAAAAGATAGAGAAAATGTATTACTGTATTTAACTGCCAATTAGTTGACGAGAATTTTTCTTTTCTTTTTATTTTATATAGATTGTAGAATTCTTAATGTTAAGAACCCAGCCTAATGAAATTAGTTAATTATTTAAATTAGACATATTAGACAGTTTAGATATAGGAGTAATGTTTTATCTGATGTGTGTTTGCGTTAGGGAAATATCACATCGAAATAGCATTTGCAGTAGGCCTACTCAC